GTGTGTCTGTATGTCTGTATGTATCTGTATGTCTGTGTTTTGCTTGGAGAGACTTAGCAAGGAACAAATCTCCAAGCAGAAACCAATTTAGTAACATCTGAATATTTGGTAATAATGGATTCAGTAGAGGGTGTAAGGGTAGTACAATATCCCTTTAACTGGTCTTTTAGTCTCTTTGGGGTGTTCTGAAATTTCTCCTCATTGCTTACTCTAAGGAACTACAAAGTCTAGCTTTTGATTCTGGTGAGCATCTATTACAACGGCAAGTGTTTGAGACACAGGTGTTGGAGCTGAGTGGTATAGAGGTGGCAGGGAGTAGGTATTAAAGCTGTTAGGAAGGATCTCAGAACAAGATAGGTAAGAAAAGGGGAGGTAGGGACACGCCTGCCCATAGAGGAACATTTTGTTATTGCAGTTTTTGAAAAGGAGGTCTACTTTAGAATCACCTCAAATTCCCAAATCTTGCCCAAGATTGCTAAGTCAAACTCTTTGAGTGTAGGAGACAGTATTTTAACAAGCTCTCCCACACCTATCACATCCACTAAAAACTGAAAACTTTTCTTTAAGGGTAGATGATAAACTTAAGAATCCAGTTCATCATTTTGCCACTATCGTGCTTGCCACCCTCTCCAAGAAGAGATTACCTTATGATGTGAAAAGGTAATAATAGTCACTATTTACTTGGTACTTACCCTTTGCTAGGTTCTACACTAAGCAGTGACACAATAAGGGAACAATTACACAAATTTCACAAGTGATGAAGCAAAGACTAAAAGATTAAGTAACTTGTCTAAAGTTGATCAAGGAATGAGCGATGAAGTCAGAATTCAAATGCAGATTTCTTTTACTTCAAAATCAGGGCCTGAACCTCCAAGCTAGTGGAACAGAAAGTCCACCAGAACACCCAGAGGGCTTGTTAAAACATACTTCCAGGCCTCAGCTCCACAGGTTCTAATTCAGTAGGTCACTGGTTGGCCCCAAGAATTCACCTTTCTGAAATGATGCGGTGCTGTGGGTCAGGGGCCACACTTTGGGAACTACTGGCTCTAAACTATATTGCTTCTTCTTCTCTTTTGTGTAAACCTAAAGACCATAAGACCAGCTCTGTTTCCACTGGCACATCTGTATTCATAGATGTCAGCTGAAGGCATCAAGGGAAGTATGTGACAGCTTATATCGAGCCTTAAATTCAAGTCTAATTGTTATGAGGTTCAAGATGCAGAAACAGCCCCAGTCACCACTAAGCTAGGCTCAAAGTGTAAACTGCTTGAGCTCACCTATGAGAGGGACGTCTTCGGAGGCCGGCATGATCTCTGCCACCATGAGCTGGAACACGGTCATGGCCAGCAGGACGGTGACTCCTAGGGAGACCTTTTCCCCAGAGGCTGCTGGGAGATAAAAACTCAAGGGAGCCAGAAAAGAGATGAGGATGCACGGTATGAGGAGGTTGACGATATAGAATGAGGACCTCCTCTTCAGAAGGAGAGTGAACGTCACATCTGGGTAAGGCTCAGAGCAGCAGCCATAGGAGATCACATTCTTCACAGCGGGCATGCCATGGACCTCCCACTCCACATCTTCGATGAAATCAGAGAGGTCTCCACTGTCCAGGGCATTGAATATGTCCACCTGATTGCCATTGTAGGTCCAGGAACCAAAGGTCAGGTTGCATTGCTGGTTATCAAAGGGGAAGTAGGTGACATCCACCACACAGGAGCTTTTGGTAATGACTGGTGCATCCCAGGTGATCAGCCCGTCATACCGCAGGACCACGTTGGTGTTCACAGGCTCAGAAGACTCATCATCAGCCCTGGAGGTGAACGGAGGAAAATGAAAGTGCTTACCAGAACAACTCACTAACTTCCGGAGCCCAGACAGCTCG